TCAATGAACAAATTTTGGTTCTTTTTCCTTTAACAAAAACTCACTGAAAATTTTGCAAAAATTTTATTTAATTATATAAAATTCTGTGTTTTTTGTGTATTTTACTCTCAGGGGCGTACACGACAACCAGAACACACGAAAATGGATCGACCCTTTTGTTTTGGGAAAGGCATATAAAACGACTAGCGAATTCTGCAAGAATCCTACTGAATTCAAAGCCTGAACTCATTTTCAAGCCAACCAAGAAATATCCATTGTTTTTATCTCCCTTATCAATCACTTCATCAATGAAATGGGAATCGAGGATTCGATCATTGGTTAATAATTCAATGAACCAAGTGTTACCCATTGCTCTGAAGGAGAGGTCTGACGGGGAGGAGTTGGCAGTTACAGCTCTTGTTTGTGGGGATTTTGAGAAGCTGAAGGAAATGAAGAATGTGGGCGATGATGATGGATTTTTTGGTGTTCTTGATGTCCATTTGCATGTAGGGAATTATGTTCCTCCGGTGTTCGGTATAGACGAAAATGGGGCACATTTGGCTTTGGTGGGTCGTGGGAGGGATGTTGCGGCTGCTAAGTATTCGGCTTGGGTAAGGTTCGTATTGTATTTGAAAGATAAGAAGTTAAAAATTTTCAAGGAGATATTGAAACTTTAAGATGGAGGTGGGAGAAAAAATGGCAATTTTGACTTATCTAAATTCCTGTTAGGTTTGTTATTATTCTTTTGTTTGCTTCTAACATACATGTGAGGATATTTATATTATCGAATTTTTGGTTTTCTTATTTCTTGTTACTATCCACTGTATGAATATTAATTTTAGCATTTTGCATTCTAGGCAGGTTAAGAAAGCCATTGGACAAATTGAGGCCTCCTTCGGTAACTGAGCTCTTGTTGTCAAATGATGGTGATCGGATACTTGAAGGCTGCATAACCAATTTTTTTGTCATTTGCAGAAGGGTGAGTGGCTAAGAATTCAAAATCTATGTTTGGATGTGGGTTTTGCTTTCATAAACTTTGATTAGATCAGATGGGTGAGTTCTATATTAGCAATAAGAATTATTTCATGACTTGGCAGCACTCAGCATTGAGTTGGGAGAATGATTACATGACCTATGAATGATGCTTGGACATCTTTCATGTATTAAATGATTTTCTGGTTATAGATGCTAACATATTGAGGAAGTTTTGAATAGCATGATGTTCTTGGCAAATCAAATCAGCATGGCTCAAATGCAGAAAATAGCGACTTTCAAGATCTTTACTGCTGTTTTCAATCCTTTATTGTCATTTTTTTATAACTTTGGGGTTTTTATATTTATGCTTGTGGTGGTGCTGTGTGCATGTGGCTATGGATTTTTATGTGGTTCCTTAGTTTTTCCTCTTAAGTTTTATAATTTATATTATGCTGTGGAATATGCTTTTAGGATAAGAGTGATGATTATGATAGTGCATATTCTGTTGAAGTACAAACAGCACCTATTACTGAAGGTGTCCTTCCAGGAGTCATACGACAACTAGTTATTGAGTAAGCGCTTCTCTTGGCTTCTAAAATTTTATTATCTTTTATTAGTTCTAAATCAGTTGATGGAGGTGTCATGTAGCACTATAGCAACAAAGTTTGTTGCAACATATTTAAGTCATTGGATTCATTTACAATCAATTTAGTTGCTTAATTGCTTATGGCTTCCTGATCAAGTGGCATGCCCCACCCCCTTGCCCTTCCTTTTTCAAAAGGCTTGAGGTGGAAGGTACTGAGTTTGGTTAATGCTGGCTAGGTCCATAGGAGACTTCCAAAATGTGAAGAATTATTTCCATTTCATTATTAAGTTCATGCTTCCTGCTTACTAGGTGGCTAACATTTGGTAGGTTCATTGAAGTAAATAACCATCAACCTGTTATAGCACTTGACAGAAGAGTTAGGAAACTTTCATCAGTTCAAACTTCCTAATTCAAATTAAACTAATAAACTGATTCTTCCTAGGATCTATCACACTTAATGATGAAATTTTTTATCTGTGCAGAGTATGCCTGAGCAAGGGTATCCCTGTGCATGAAGTTGCACCATCATGGGAAAAACATGGACTTTGGGAAGAGGCTTTTGTTACAAGTAAATTATTTTTTCATTCATTCAATTCTTTGTGGTTACCTTTTACCATCATTTTTCGGAGGGATGCCATCGCTTTTATATGTTGACATCTCGCTTTTGCTTTTTTTCATTGCTATTGACTTTTTCCATGTGATTAGACTAGGTGCACTCATACGAGGTCTATTCAGCTGCCTCAAAATTAATATTCTTAGTATGGACCAGCAATTAGGATCTAAACAAGTGCTGAATTTTAAGTCTAATCTCTACACTACGATTTGTATCTCAAGCCTGAAGATTTAAACAGAAAAATCAGTTGAAACGTTTTAACCATGCAAAGCTGTTAATAATCCTTCAGTTTTCTGTTTTTCCCCAGTGTTTTGTTTAAGAGACAAAATTGGCCCAACGATAGATGTCTAGTTACAGTGGAACTTTGAAATAGAGGATGGCGATTATCAAGTACCCTAGCAAAGCAATTGTTCAGTTGTGGTTACAAAATGGATTACAATTGAACATTTCCTTTTTTCATTTAATCTTTCTTTTGTTGTCCAATATGTAGGTTTTTCTTTTTAACTTCATCATTTTTATGCTATCCAGTTTTCATGATTTGATTTTAGATCATTTTACTCTAAACAATTCTTGATAAGCAAAATTTTTTTGTAGATAGCTTGAGAGTTATACAGCATGTTGAGACAATTAAAGTTCCAAGTTCATGGGAATCTCTTGGTACAAAATGTTCTGAAGGATTATCATGGATGGAGAAGGAATTTGAGGTGTGATCTTTCTTACAACAGCATTATTGACCTGGGATTTTAAATGGTGCTGTTTTCTCATAATTACTTCTTCTTTTTTTCATTGAAATCAGCAGGGTCCTGGGATGATCACAAATGTCATACAGGTAATATTCGATGAGCAGCTTATTTAACTATACCATGTAGGACAAAAAGTGAATGTGTGAAACTATTGCATATATTAGGAATAAAAAAGATGGGAAAGTACAAATTGTTTAGAACATTAAAGTATAGAATGCCATTTTGCACCCAATACGGGAAACAAAAGTTGCTTCATTTTTTTTAATTGTTTGTTTATGTTTTCATGGAGGAGCAGAAAGAGATCATGGAGAGAGCTTGCATGGAAAGGTACCCATCAAATGAGTTCCTATAACAGACAATGGATTTTAATGTGTTGTAAGATCTTTATGCACAAGCAAGACAAAAACCTTGTATAGTGTGGCATCGATCCCAAAGCTGATGTTATACTTGCATCACAAGCATGAATTCCAGGTGTGAGTTTCTTGTGCCTGTTGCACATGCTGGGTACATATTTATCAGGTTGAGGAGCTGCTACTTGATTTCAGGACTTACATGATTGAAACTGAAATTTTATTGGAACAGAGGTAACTTTGTCTGCCTTTAGCGTATAGTATTCATTCATGTGCAGTCAGCCTTTTCTAATTTTTGATTGTTTGATCAGTTAGCTGATTAGAGGGGTTCTTCCCAGACTTTTGACCGATCATGTGGCTTGTAAATCGACAAGAATTATACTTCCATTTTGGATATACACTGGGTCATTCTAGTTTTTGCCTGTTCTTTGCTGAACTGTTTTATCTGTACTCAAAGTGGCTTTACAGACCTTGTGTTGGTACCCTTTGGTTTTACAAGAGAATTGTCCCATTCCCAGGCAGATATGCAAATTTTCAAACACAATACACAGGTACACTGCCAGTGATGGTAGGTTTTTTTTCAGTGTCACCTGAAACGTGAATTAGCAAAGCCACATGCATTTTCAGTGGTGTTTCTGTTAGCTGACTGCTTTGACACAATACAAGCATGACCTGCCCTTCAATTATAATATTTCAATGCCTGTACTGGTATTGTTAGCCTGGTTTCCTTCTCCTCTTGGGCAGCCACCATTGGCATTTCCCAGATTGATGGTTAGCATGAACTGAGCTGCAAGCAAAGCAGAGCTTACTTTAATTTCTGCTTTTCTTTTATCCTTTTCTAATTTTCTAGTTACCTTTGTTTCTGATCATTGATATCATATTGCCTAGGACATAGGAAAAGGGGTAATTAAAGCCACAAAACTAAAAAGTAGGCTGAGCCTGAGTCTAAAGTTTTGTTAGACACATGCTGAGGTTATGGTGCAGCTCACCTAGTTGGCCTATTCATCTAGGATTGGGCTTGGATTATGACATCATTGCCAATGATATATATAAGTTGACAAGCTAGATGATTATGTAACAAAACTAGAATATAAAATTACTAAACATCAATCATTTGTTTCATCAACTAGCATCGGAATCCAAAATCACAAAAAAAAAAAGTTTTTCTATTCTTCTCTTTTCTTTAAATTAAAGTAATTTTTGTCAAGATCCTCCTTTTTCTCTAAATCTCAAAAAAAAAAACCAAAATCTATAAATCTTATATTTTGTTTTCTTAAATTAGAAAAAAAAAAAGAAAATTTTCAAAAAATTACTTCAATTAAGAAAAAAAAAAGGCAAGTGAGAGGAATAAAAAAAATAAAAAATGTTCATATAGTCACATCAGCAAGTTATAAAAATAAAAAAAATAAATTGATATTAAATTTAATAACAATTAATTTATTGTTAAAATTAAAACCTTCTTTACATCAAAATAAAAGTTGAAGCATTCCTTTGAATTTAATAAAAAATTTAATTAAACAAATAAATATAATACAAAGAGGTTTTTTTTAGAAGTTTATGCCTATATTTTAATAACACGAGATTTATAAAAGTTCAATTTAATAACTAAAATCTGAGCCTAATGAGTTATGACATTATATTATATTAATTCTAAATTTAACAAAAAAATATATCTAAATTCATCATTCCACATTATTATTTTTTTTTAATAACAACACAAACAAAACGAAGAACTCATGAAAAATGTGAAGGATAATTTTTGAGAAAGAAATCAGAAAAGAAAAAGGAAAGAGCTGATAATGGTGGCTTACCGATCAAAGCCACTGGAAACAGCCCAAAAACGTGGGTGATATGAGAGAGAGTACAGAATACAGATGCTATAAAGAAGGGAAACTTCCTTTATAGAATAAAGAAAACCAATCAAATAAGAAGAAAAATAGAAACAAAAGCCAACGGTTTTGATAAAAACCGAGAGTCCGAAACCAAAATTTATATAAATAAATCAAACAAAACCCAAGTCTTTCTTTTGCTTTTGCTCTCTTTCCTTTCTTCTCCGTCGTCTGATCTTCTTTCATTCATTCCACCTAGTAAAAACAAATACTTACTAACCAGCTCGACCAATCCCCTCCTCTCGCGCCAAATACAAACAAAAAATTACAATTTTCTTCTCTTTCTTTTTTCTACTCAGGTTCGTCTCTCTTTTTCTCTCTTTTTTTCTAAAACCCTTGTATTTATGTATGTATGTTTTTTGTGTATCTGGGTATGTCTTTGTTTTCGCGAATAGTGAAAAATGATTTACGGGTACGCCTATCTTTTTGTATGTATGTATCATGTATGTATGTATGTATGTATGTAAGCATCTGAGTATGGTAATTTTTACATATATGCATCTAGGTATCTCTTTGTTTGTTAAAATTCTGATAAATGATTAATGGGTTTTTTTCCCGATTTTGAGGTTTGTGTATGTATGGATGGATGTGTGCATTTGGGTATGTTTATTTATGCAAATATGCATCTGGGTTTCACTTTGTTTGTTAAAATATTGACAAATGATTAATGGGTACTGATGGGTTTTTTTTTCTCTGGTGGTTTTTTTTCATTAGTGATCTAGGTTTTTTTGGGGATATGGCGGATGGTATGCAAGCGGGGCCAACGAGTCCGGCAGGAGGAAGTCATGAGAGTGGAGGAGAGCAAAGCAGTCCTCACTCAAATGTGAGGGAACAAGACCGTTACCTTCCAATTGCTAATATAAGCAGAATCATGAAGAAAGCATTGCCTGCTAATGGGAAAATTGCCAAGGATGCTAAAGATACTGTTCAGGAATGTGTTTCTGAGTTCATCAGCTTCATCACTAGCGAGTATGTAAAATCTTAATCTTGGTTTTTTTAATTAATTTGTTGATAATTTTTGTTATATTTTATTTTCTTGAATTTGGTGATTCTGAAATTGTGGAGATTTGTTTGAGACTTTGGATGTTTGTTTTGGATGCGGTGATTCTTTTTGGTGGTTGGAAAGTTGGAAGCTTTAGCAGGTTTTTTTTTTTATTATTTTTGGGTTGTAAAGGTCTAGTTTTTGTGGGATTTGATTTTTAGTCTTTATCAGAAAGTATGGTATTTGTTTTCTAGATTGTGAAATTTGGATGCTTTTATTTTTATGTAAATTACTTAGGACAATGTCTACTGTCTAGGAATTTATATCTGAGTTTATCAACTTCATCACCAGCAAGTATGAAGAGTTTTGGTTTTACTTTTTTAAAGCTGAATTAATGTTGTTGGGGATTTTTTTTTTCTCTTGAATTGTAAATCCGGTGTCTTGAGATTGGGGGATATGATTTTAAGACTTGGTTTTGGTGCTTGGAAAAGTTAGGAGCGGCTTGGTTGGATTTTTTTTACCTTAGGGTGGTAAAATTATAGTTTTTGATGGATGTGAGATTTGGGGTGTGAGGGGAAGTAGGATATTGGTGTTTTGGACTATAACATTTGGGTCTTTCTTATGAGTATCTTTCATATATAATCTACAGATTTGTTTTCCGAATGTTGTTTCATATTGGTGCTTGTTTCTTTTTCCTTTTTCTTTTTCTTGAATTAATGTACTTGAGAAGTTTATTACGTTGGTGTATGAATTGTAAATTATAAATTTGGTGTTTCCTGAAATTGAGGATGTGATTTTGAGACTCGGACCTTTGTTTTTGACATGCTAATTTTTGGTTTTTGTAAAAGTTGGAAGCTTGACTGGTGATTTTCACTTTTGGATGATAAAGTTTTAGTTTTTGAGGAATTCACGTTTAGTTTATATTGCAAAGTAGAGTCCTTGTTTTTTGGGTTGTGACTTTGGTGATTTTGGGGCAGGTAAAGGCTCAGTTTTGATGGATGTGATTTTGCTCTCAGTTTCATGAGAAACAGCATGTTTTTGATTAACATCTTTTCCCTTTTCTTTTGTGACTGGTGTGAATATTGGTGCTTTTGGGAACAGGATATCATTGGTTTGCTTGATTTTTTGGATGATAATTACTATTACATTAGAGCTTGCTTTGTGTGTTAATGGAAAGTGACGTTTTTGTTTTGTTAATTATGATGGTTTCTTTTTGGAATTGAGGTTTAATTTTGTCAAAATGGTTTGGACTGTTTGTTTTGTAGGGCTAGCGATAAATGTCAGAAAGAGAAGAGGAAGACAATTAATGGGGATGACTTGTTATGGGCAATGGCAACATTGGGGTTTGAAGACTATATTGAGCCGCTTAAAGTATACCTGGGGAGGTACAGGGAGGTATGTAGGGCTTTGACTTTTAATTTTTATGCTTATTTTGAACTTCCTGCTTGATCCTGGATTAGGCCATTAGAAGATTGTGGTGCAGTTTAGAAAAGGGAAATTTGTTGTCCTATTCTGCTCCATTTTGTTTGTTAATATTATTGCGTGAATCATACCAGTAAATAATCTATATAAGGCTCTATTGACATTAGTTAGAAGTCCAAAGCTCAATAGATGTTTTATTTTGTTGCCTGACATTTTCATACTAATGCTGTGTGCCTGGTCTCTATAATTTTTATCTGACTATTTTTTTTTTCTTTCTTTTTTGCCCTCTTCTTGCGACTGATGTTATCGGAATGATCATGATGTACAGTTGGAGGTAATTATACCCTCATGTGTATCACTGATATATTTTTTTTTAGTATGTATATTTTGATATTGTCTCCTCTTTAAGGCTAGGATTAACATTACCTGCAAACTGTGAAACTGACAGGGTGACACCAAGGGATCTGCTAGGGGTGGTGATGGATCTCTTAAAAGGGATGCAGCTGGAGCTCTGGCTGCCCAAAATGCACAGGTGCAACCAGGATACTTGCTAAAAATTTTTTACCTTGCATCTTTTTCATTCTGAAAAGTCCTCAACTTACATAACCATGTTTGAATTGGTGGTGAACAAATTGTGCAGTTTGCAATCCAGGGCTCATTGAACTATATTACTTCCCAAGTAATCCTCTCTCTCTCTCTCTCTGCTCTCTTATATATATAATATATATCCCCCTCTATTGTTTGGCATTATTTCATACAAGATTGTCTGTTTGTTGTGTACCTGTCTTTCCTTCTGATAGTAAAGAGTCTTTTGTTGATTAATGTTTAACTGCTCATTAGATTCATGTTAAAAAATTTGCCTTATCAGGCTTTGATTAGCAATAGATTTTACTAATATAGTTGATTATTTTCTCAGTCTTTTGTTTCAAATCCTTCCTTTCATTTTGGTTACCTGTGCACCATAAAATTTCCTTTTCTGATGATTTCATTAGAGTGAGGGTTCTTATAAAATATGCTTTGCATAAATCTTGATAAATAAGGGATTGAATAAGGTAAAGCATTTTGTGTCCTCAAAAATAGGATTTGTATAAATGTTGATAAATGAGGGGTTGAGTTAGCTAAAGCAGCTTAATAAGCTTATCATAATTATTCAAGGAAAAGCTCGTTTCACCAATTAGGATTTGATTCTTGAATATGAATGGACGAATGATAGGATTACAATGTTATAATTTTCATTAAAATTGATTGATTGGATGATAACTCATATGCATGATTTTGTACGTCACATTTCTTAAACCTTTATTGTCATTTACATGTTTTAGATTGCATTTAATATTAATACATTGACCCTATGATTCTGTCAAGTTCCATCAGGAATCAGTCGAGAATAATTAAGAGTTTTCTGAAAATCTATTATTGTTAGACAAACCCACACGCGCCCCCCCCCCCTAAAAAAAAACACACACACACCCCTTTGCCATACCTTTTTTCTCTCTTCTATCAACTGCAAATTGTAAACAAAAGTTCATCTCGAATTTTCCAGAAAAATTCCAGCAGAAACAGCGTGTACATGCTTGGAAACAAACTAACATTGATCCCAGGTTAAGGGGAAGGGGATAGCCGATACTCCTTTTTGCATGCTCTCTAGCCAATATGAGGCTATTACTTCCCACTGCTCTGTGTGACATTGTAGCACCCTGTCCAGCATACTGGAGCTAAATAGTGATGGTCTGATAGATAATGGATAATCAGATGTGATAAATCCCATATCAGAAGGCTTGAGAATAATGTGCTCATAGCAACTTTTGGCACACGTCTCTTAAAAAATTTAAAGACATTACACTCATATGTTGCATGTGTGATGCATGTTTTTATGTTGAGGTATATAAGGATGGTAGCTTATACCCACACCATTCTAGACTCATATGACGGTTTGCTACTAGTAGTAAAATTTTAGGATGATAGAATAGGATAGATAATCAAAATACTTAGCCATGTCAGGTGGTGATTAGTGATTACTGTACTATGCTAGTTGCCTTGAGCCTATCTTATAGACTCCTTGTTACAAATTTTAATAGCTTCGAGGAGAGATTCTTACTTCTCAATGGCAGGATATTATGACGATTTAAAAGGAAAGCCTATGTTGGCCTGAATTGATTAATAATAGGATAACTCTATATGATCAGCTTATCTCACGAAGCAAAATGAATTATGCTCTTTGTTGATGTACTAGGGAAAATATATACTGCATGTTGCTTAGTAGGGAAGGTTCAAAGTTAAAGGATGAGGGTAGTTAATAATTCAAACTTATGCCAAGCTAGATATTTTATCAAGTTAGTAAATGAAGACACCTTATCTATTTTAGCATTAGCAACTAGCTTCTTCGTTGTAGCGGCAATGAAATAGACCAGAGGGCAACACATGATGTGCATGTTCAGGGTAAAAACTCGGGATTTATAGTACAATTATTGCAAAATAGTATTTTACATTCACTAAAAGAAGGGTCTCTTCCCACCCTCTCGCTCTCTCTAAACCACTCTGGTCTATGTTTGCTAATTTGTATCTCTAATGATATGAAAAGAGAAATAAGTGCCTGTTGGAACTGTAATTTCACTTGTATTTCAGTGATTCAGGTTCCTTAAATCTTGCAGGCACAAGGACAGCATATGATCGTTCCCTCCATGCAAGGCAATGAGTAGCTGATCCTATCTTTCTTTATACAATTTTAAGAGTTCTAGGACTGGTTATATTGTGTAGTTCCAACACCTATAGGATCTTTAATGTGGATTCATCTTATTTATGCAAAGCTACCTACCTTGGGGGTTTTCGGTTCGCCTTTTCTTAGGTGATTTGGAGCTCTGTAAAAGGTTTTTAAGTGCTGTAAATTTGGCTTTTTTATCTGATATATAATTGCTTTGTGAATTGGAGAAAAAGAAAAAGTATTCTATACATCTTGCAAGCTTTTGAGCTCTATCAAGGCATGGTTAGATTGGTATCTAATGATCTGAATGCCATGCAAACCATGAATGATTTTGACTTCTTACATTTTCTTTGATGGAGATTTTGGCACTGCCAAAGGCTGAGTAACTGAACTAATTTGAAATTTGTACTATGAGTTTGCCAAGTTGTATCCATCTTAAAATCATTTTTAGACTTGGATTGAGTTTGACATTGGTTTTTTTATTCTAAACCTATGGTTTAAAATTTGTAAAATTTGATAAAATCATACTCAAACTCTCACTTAAACTGAAATTTCATCATGTTTGAGGATTTAATTATTTAAACCGAAATTGAGTGTACAAAGAATTTAATTATACAGTGGAACCCATGGTAAAGACTTGTGCGACTCTTTGAGCCTTGAGTCTCAACCCATGACCATCTTTAGGCTTATGCAGTTCTTGACCCTGGAGTTTTGAGCTTTGATCAATAACAAATGAATGTATCGATGTACAAAAGATTATTTTAATTGAAATGTATATCGTTCACGTTTATAAAATTTTTAAAATTTTTTATTTTTTAATTTAAAATTAAAATATTTTTTCATTATTTTTGAGATGTGAATGTGATATTTTTTCCTACTCAAATATTTCCTGTAAAAGGTTCAACATGATATTTTTTTTTCTTCCACTCAATCTGATAAATGAGGACCGTTGATCACTTCGTCTGCGTTCATCTAAAGGTGCTTGACAGCATAAGTTGAGTTTAAATTGAATCTATTTAAATTGGGTCTATGATCAATACGGGATTAAAATATTTTATGATTTGTTTCGAAGATTTGATATATTTACGTATTTTTTTTATAATAGAAAAAACATTACTAACCAAATTTAGGATTTTAATCAAATCTGGATCTTCCTTTTGTGGCTTGAGTATAAACAAATACGTGATCGCATGAGACATGAGGGTTGTTCTTAGGAACCCTTCCACACCACCCACAAATAACGACATCATACGTGGCAGAGCAAGATTGTGATATATGGTCGTGACCGCATGAAATCATAACTTTCCCTATCACCAATCAACAGGTAGCAGCACGGGACATCAGCTTGTGCTGAGGGTGGACACGTTAGATACACGTGAGTCAAAGACATTTGGTTCCAGCACAGACAGAGAGAGACGGCGTGGTCACATCATCTATTTCTTGTCGTGTGATCTGTCGCTTAAGCAAAGCAATGCAAAAAAACCAAGCCAAGCCAAAAGTACGGCGGTTTGCTTTTCTTGCTTACCACTACATGAAGGGCACAACACAAAGTAGAAAAGAAGAAAGAAAAAATAAAACCTGAAAGGGCAATGGTTTCATGTCTTCTTATCCACGACGTGACCATCATTCCTTGCCTGCACGAGCCAGCCAGCTCAATCCCGCCCTTCCCACTTGGCTTCTGCGGAGAAGCTATCTCTCTATGTCTGAAATTCCCTTTTGGCTGCTTCCCATGTAACCACATGAAAAGATTGTCACGCCATCACTCCTCTCTCTCTCTCTCTTCTCTCTCTCTCTCTCTCTCTCTCTCTCTCTTCATCCTCAAATTATATTAATGTCTACCCTATTATAACTTGAAAACACACGCGCAAGCATTATTATTGCCAGATAATTGATTTTCTTTAATGGGGTTTATCCAATATGAGTGATTCAGGATGCATTGGACCTCAAAAGCATTTTTGTTCGAAGAATTAATGGAAAACCAAAGTCGTTGAGCAGAAGACATATATTGATGATATCTATTTCATGAAAACCTTGTTACAACATGCAAACTACTACTATAAGATATGGAAGAACTAATTTAAAGATTTTTTAAATTGATTCATGGTGATATGATAAGGTTGGAATTGGGCCAAAGGGGTTGGTTTAAGGAAATTGGTGATGAAGAAGAAGGAACTGTTTAGCATGTTATTAATGTGTCCTACAATTATCATGTTAATGAGGCCTAAGGGTCATGGTGTCTTTCTCCTTTGCCAACTCACACCCTCAAAAGCTCCAGCTCACACCACTATCACCCCCAGTTGAGCCCTCTACTCTCATTTTTATAATTTGCTTTTATGGCATAAGGGGGCAGGCCAACCCCTCTTAGTCACATTCACCCCCCACCATAGACAAATCAACCAGATTCACATTGTTTTCCCTTTTTAAATTATTATATGCATAGAATTAAAAACACTTCACAAATGCAAACATACATTTGCTTCAAAGGTTGATTAGATATCTTAATTAAACTCTGTCTTTGATATATAAAACAAGACTAATGTTATTTCGTTCGATAATTAGATAATTTGACTACTCAAAAATGATAAGGGGTGTTTATTTTTTTTTGAATAATCGGATAATTAGACGATCCGATACCCTAACTTTTTTTATATAATATCTTTTCAATTTTTTTTAAAAATTTTCCCGGCCTTTTTTGTCATAGTATACAAATATGTGTTCTGGGTATTTGCATATATAGCAGAAAGAAAGAATTAGAACAGTTTGCTTTCTGCAATACAGCTGGCCACGTTTTGTGTACATGCAAAGAGAGGAGAGGAGAGAAAAGAGAGATGAGATTTTTGAGTACGTATCTGTTTCAGCCCTCACGTGGCCTTAGCCTTTGTTTTCTTTGAAATTCGAAACCAACTCAAAGATAAAAGAGACAGAGGCATCCCAGTCCAGCTCCATTGGCCATTAACCCTTTTTTATCCTTTTCTTTTCTTTTCTTTTCTTTTTTCTCTTGTTCTTGATGGAATCATATACAGGGCCATTTTTTCCAAGTGTAAACCACTCTCTCTACTTTGCAAATTGTTTTGAAATTGCTCTAAATTTAGTTATGATTAATTATGTCCATAACATTTTTGTTGGGGGCAAGAACCTCAAGGTGAATAATAGATAGACCAAATACAATAAAAAAACATGAAATTAATGGCACCTGGGATTAATTTTCTCTAAATTATGTTCTATAAAGAAATTAGGGTTGGATTTATTATTCAATAAAAAAATCACAAGAAAATCCTGCATCGGCATGTTCTAATTACGACATGTCTGAACGGTTAAAATTTGATTTTTTTTTATTTGAAATTTTTAAATTGAAAATACAAGAAAAAAAAAAGGAGAGAATTGTCTGAAATTGTATAATTTAAGACTTAACAATCCAAATCAATATATCAATAACATATCTTTACAATAATCCATTGCAAAAGTTGACACTTTTAGAGGTTTTTGTTGTGCATATGTTTGTTTATGGAGAGGATATTAGGTCAAACAATGAGGAATAGTCCGAAATTAAATTATAAACTTCAACACCCTTTGTTCTAGTAGTAGTCTACCAAGTGAATTGGCACCATGGTATAATAATATTGATCTAGGCTTAAAATAAAAGACATTACATAATACAAAATATATAAATTCATATACATTAGACATCCTTTTTCTTTCGAAATATATAAAAGTTATTGCAAAATTCAATCATACAGCAATTAATCTATTATCATATTGAAAACCCATAACCTCAAATACTATGAAGAGAGAGAACTACAAGCTTGAAATTTAAATTTCTATATCAAAATTGAATTATTCACTCGTGTTAAATTTAAAATAAAAATCGAATATTTTTAACCTAAATGATGTAATTTTACTGTATTAATTATATTTTTTGAAATTATATATATAGCACTATTTTTTACAACATATCATTTCTCAAAAATAAGAAAAAAAAAGAGAGGAGTAGCAAAATTTTGAGGTAGAAAGTGGAAATTTAATTGAATTTTTGTAGAATGGTGAGGAAGAAAGAAAAAAAGCAAAAGAAATGCGGGAAATGTTGTGGTGTCATTCACGCGCCAGTTGAAGAGGAGGGTTAGGAACTGAACTGCTGTGGTGTAATGTTGTCAGTCACGGTCAAGCGAAGAGCTTTGACGGCCTTTTTTTTTTTTCTTCTTTGTTTATTCTTTTTGATTAATATAGTTTTCTTTTCACCTTGTTGGATCACTTTGGCCACCCAAATTCTTTTTAAATAATAAGTCTTGATTTTTAATTAATATTTATGAATACTTTTTAATCATTTTAAATAATAATTAATTTTTTAAATAAAACAATAATTACACATAAAAGACAATTAATGTTTCCATTATTTAATTGAAATTTGGTGATATTAATATATAAAAATTATTCAATGTTATTATTATAGAATTAAAAAATATTTTTTAGGGAATTCATTAATCACAATTAGAATTTTTTTTAGATTAATTAGAATTTTATTTAAAAACTGAATAAATCTCATTTATATTAATAAAAAAAAATTAAAATAATAACTTAAAAATATAATGAACAAACATAACTATTTACATCAATTGAAAAGTTTTCTCACATCTACACCTTTATACATATTATAAATATAATCAATTTCATTGTTTATTTTGGGTTAAACTAAAATTCCAACACCATCTTAAAATTTTATGATCATAGTATGAAGATCCAAAAGTAAGCAACATTATTTATAAGATTAATTTACAATGATTTATTCTATTTTATTCAATTCTCTTTAATTTCTTCAATCAATGTCTTTCCCATTAGGATTGCGTTGATTATTCTCGTATCATTCATTACCTTACACATTTCTTTTGCACTTGCACTTGTCATATTATATATATATATATATATATATATATATAATCTACCTAATCTCAACATACAAACATTAAAAATATCAAATTTTTTTCGGATAATTAAGATGAAAAATAGCAATATTTAAAAATATCTAAATATCTTTGGGTGAATTCTAAAATTTGTTCAAAACCTAACGAGAGATGCTCGAAATGAGAAGTCATCCAATCCGTACTCTTGATGAACATGACAATATTCGACTTCTTTAAATAAAATTGCATGCAAAAGACCATGGACAAAGGAAGTAATTTTCATTATTAT